ACACTAACACTTCAGGGAGTGGTATTACCGCTTTATTTCTGCAAGCTCTCCAACAGCCTGTTGGACGTTTGCCAAAGTTCTTCTCAATCTGACGTTTGCAAAGTTGACAGCCATTCCTTGCGAAGTCACTTGGCTGCGGGTCCAAAATATGTACCCGAAATGGAATCCTGGTAATGCAAACATGGACCAAAACCTGCGGTCGCCTGGTGGTTTAATTTTGACCCATGCCCACTTGGTGTCTTCACCCAGCTTGCAAATGTTCACCCACAAGGTCTGCCTCGATCAGCTCAGCCAGGCGTCTCACAAGAACCTTGCGGCAAAGCCGGGCACTGCCCCGACGCAATCTAATCTAACACTGGTAGCGCACCAAAGGCTGTGTGACTTTCCTTCGCGAACACAAAGACCTAAGAAAAGCCCAAACAACAAAAGCAAGGTATTGCATCCCATGCAAAGCCATTGCGTGTTGTTTGAGCCAGGTGCATAAAAAATCACAAACAGAGTTCTTGCGCAGAAACGTGTCACTTTCTAATTCAAGCTTGAACCTTACTAAAGGGCGCATTGTACAGAGCTTCATGTTGATCGTTTCAACTTGAACCAATGGGACGCGCAAAATCCCAATAAGCCTCAGCCCTCTTCAAACCTGCAAGGACTTGACACGGCCTTGGAGAGCTGGTCCTGGCTTGCCTGAGCCGAGTCGGACGAATCGGAGGAATCGGCGAGAAAATCCGCGCCAGTCAGCTTTCCCACTGGATCCGTTTCTTGGATTGCTTGCTGGTAAGGCAAACTGCTTGATATGGGTGTGGCTCAAAATACAGGAGCTAGGGTTACGCAGGTTTTGGTCGTTGGTTCCATTTACCAAAGGGCAATTTTGGTACATTTATTTGAGCCACAGCCATATCTTCATCCAGGGATCCAACACACAAACTTTGAACTACTCTGGCTCAGGCCCTCACCATCATCACTTGGAGCTGTTGAGTATGCTTGAACATATGCAGCAAAGGTAGTCAGCGAGCGAGGGGGGCTAAGCGCAAATCCATCATTCAATAAACGAATCTTAAAGGAGGCTCTTGACAAATAAACAGCATGTTCCATCGCGTTTGCTGTTTTCTTTTGGGGAACTGATGTACTGATCGGGTATTTGGGCTTGTGTCAAAGTAGGGGAGCCAAACATTGTCGATTCCTTTTGGTTTGTAACTGCCCCGGGTGACAATCTCAAATATATACATGTAGAATACATATGTATATATATATATACATATTACCTGTGAACGTTGCTAAGCACCACCTGTGACTATGCCAAGGCGCCCTTTCTTTCCCTCCCAAATCTCACCCACCAAAAAGAAACTCACCTCAAATCGGCCCAAGTGGCGTTTGCCATGACAAGGGGAAATAAGGGACCCCGATAAAGTGGGAGTCCGAACAGACTAAACATGAAGGTCAGGGTCCGTAGTCAACCAACCACCAATTTATCAGCTTCCTTCCCTCTTGACACTTTGGATTGGTGCCAACAGATTCAAATCTCCCAGCTACAAAGTCAGGCTTACCACCCAAATGTCCAAATCCCCAAACCACCAAATGGGTCTGTCCTGCTCTGGAGCAAGCCCTTTGTTCTTGTTTCAATGGACACACCCAAGTACCTATGGGGAGGTGGGAAGATCAATTTCCTGGACAGATCGCCGGTCAGCTTCCATGTCAGGAGGGAGGGTACCACGTGGGCGTCCCTTGAACCGACGCCTCCCGGCATCGCCAGCCGGCCACCAAGGCGCCAGAGCCTCGAAAGTGGTCCCCGACTGGTCCGCCTGGGTGGCCGCGAGGGAGCAGATCTTCAAGGCCGTCATCCCGTCCGTGCCTGCAACTGGAGTCCGCAAAAACAGGGCAACCAACCACCAACCAGCCAACAAACAACCAAACAGCACTATATCTGATGCACAGGAAGCCCCTCCTTTGCAACACCGTTTTGACATTTGGTCTGAAAAGCTGGCGAGTAGCTGGAAGCCCTCCGGAAATAGCAGGGCGTTGGAGGGCAACCCGCAAAGCGCCACTCATTTTGGCAACCCATCAGTAGGTCCTCTTTTGATACTCGTACTTTCTGAGTCAGGGTCAGCATAAAACGCAAGCATGCTATCGCCTAGCCTTGTCCAGGCGGCCTGCAACTCAAATGCTAAACTTTAGGGCCAAGACCCAACAAGAACTTTGGGGCCAGGACCAAACAATTGGCTGACAAAAACTGGGGGTGCAGCTCTAACAATAAGAACAAACCCTGCCCAGGCTTACCAGGGGATGGGCCTTCTAGACCCCGTTTTGGTCGCCCCCCCATGCTTCCCAGGTGCCCTTCCAGCCCATAGCGCAAATCTCCTTGGCCAGCGCGAGCTCGCTGCTCTTCAGCAGGATGGGTGCGTCACCTCGGGCGCCGGTGGCTGAGGCACGGGCCAAACCAAAACAAAAGAAGTGCTTCGGTGGACCGCCCTGAAAATGACCAGAGAGTTCACCAGTTCAAGTGATTTCGATTCAGTGCGATCTCCCATGCTCTGAGACCGACTCCGCACATGTGGGAGAGCTGAATTCATGCACAGGTCCATGCTTGCCGCCTGCTATTCCAAGCGTGTTCTAGCGTGTCCGTAGTTTGACTTACGTGCCGCGCATATACCTTCCAAGAAAGCACTCTCAATGGTTCCAGTACTACGTATAGTTGGTCTTAAACTTCCTTTGATCGACTACCATAGCAAAGGCGGTAAGGTGCGCAATGCTCCCGCACAAGCAAAGACTTATGTCTGAGCAAGCTGCAGAGGGCAAACAGACTACAAAGGAACATGAATCCATCAAAGTGGTAGGCAAAGCGCATCTTTGATGGAGTTCAACCGGCTTTTGGTACATCGCACAGCTGTCCGCTTTCTAACGCAAAAACAAAAACACGGCACCTACCGAGCACGGCACCTATGGAAAGTCAGTTTCGGCTTGTCCCTTGCCAAGCTGCAGCGGTCGTAAATGCCGACATTGAGCACACCATCCTGACTTTGTTCGCAAGCCAGATCGAGCCCGGTACGGTAGCCAAAATCGGAATTGTCAAGAAAAACAGGTGAGCGTTGGTTTGTATTGCCTACAAACTTGCTTGGACATTATTCAAGCTTCCGAGGACCCTTCCGCATCCTTGCCGCGGGCCAAGAGGTCCCTTCCGCGAACTTCCGCGCCACATGTGTTTCATTGTTTGCTTCCGCAAACCTTCCGCGGGACATGTTTTACAAGATTTGCTTCCGCAAGCATTGGCGCAGAAAGGAAAGTCATTTTGAGTGAGGTAGTTTTCCGCCGCAGCTTGTGTAGGCTTGGGCTCCATTGGGCTACCCATGCTACGGTGGCCACTTGCCTGCAAACACGGGGCCACCCTTCCGCGGAGCTTCCGCAAACCTTCTGCGAAATTACCCCGGCTGTTTTGGCCTTCTTGGCTTGCTGTTCGCATCTGCTCTTCGAGTAAGCGTTGCGTTTCTTGTACGCAGCAACACCTTTTCTTCTACTGGAATCGTTTCTCCGAGCTTTTCCATGCACGCTCTGAAACAATTAGTTGCATATCAGCCACAAAGCTTCCGCACACCTTCCGCGAACAAATCCCTTCCGCACGCCTTCCGCATGCTTCCGCGCGTGTGGCGCGGCGCACATTTTCAATAATAATGTCCCTCTCCCCACTAAATTAGCTTGCGGCAAAAAAAAAAAAGCCGCTCAGGTGGAGACTCAACATAAACAAACTCCCAACGCTCTGGAGCAAGCTTAGAGGCTTGTCCTTGCGGAGTCTTGTAGAAATGACCTGGAGCCACTGCACGTGTCATTACGCACACCCTGCCGAATAGCCTGCACCTGCACCCACAGAATTGCTCTGAGCAAGCACCAAGCACAGCATCACATCGTTCCTCCATGGCCTGTTTCGATCCTGTGTGTCTCCTCGGTGGCGGCCAAAGCTGGCTTCGAGGCATTGAAGCGCTTTTGACCCATGCAACCTTCGTCGCTTGGCAAAGGGCCCGGCACTAAGTTGTGGCACACATGGAGCATGCCCATCATACTTCAAACCAACTGGAACACTTCATCCGTGCCAAGGAGTGGGCAATGCATCCTACAAAGAGCCTGTAGCGAAAGCTCATAAGAAAAAAAGCTGGTGCCCAAGCTACCCCATCCAGCTTGAGAGCCAAGAGTCCACGTCCACGAAAAGGATTGTGTTCACCAGTTCCGTGCCAGCTTCATCTTCAGGAATAGGCGAAATAGGCGCCATCCTCGGGCTCATGCAATCAGTCACGTTGATGACAATGCCGCCTGTAGCATATGTGTGTTGTCTCCAAATTGGATATATCATCAATAACGCACGCAGCTCATTGGTCATCCCAGTTACGCTATGAAGGTGAGTCATTGACACAGGTCCATGTTCCGTTTCGTGTGGTGAATTGCTAGGCGTCCGCAGCCAGGAATTTTGACAGCCAAGTGCCTGCCCAGGCATCGCCAAAACTTTTGTCTGGAAGCCAGGACTACAATCCAAAACTTTCAGCAATCCGCTGACTACGTTTGCTACTGCCCCTCCATCCCCATCAACCTGGGCGGGTGAATGCCCCAAAAAGAAAATGATCCTCACTCAAAAACGGGGTCTGAGGAGTCTAAGGCGACACTAACCCTGGACCTCCCAATCCGATCTTCGCTTGCCGGGCCACGAGGCGTTTTTTTCGTTTTTTCGCCGGCACTTGGCTGAGCCTCTTGAGCCCACGCTGCCGGGATCCGCAGCCATGCTGAGATACAGGTTGGAACCCGAGCAATTTGTCTCAACACCCGAACTCGGTTGCTCTCCGCCCCCTGCTAAAAGTTTATTTTTTAGTGGTGCAAATAGTTAAAGTCCCAACATCCAAGCAAAATGCACCACAGCTAAGCCAGTTTAAAACCGCCCCCACTCAAAGCAGTTGACGTCCAACCGCCAAGGTCCATCCATCAAGCTCGAACGATCCCCGAAAAATCGAACACAAGGCCCTCACGGTGGCTGCCACCACTCCGGCTGCTTCTTCTCTTTGCTCGCCTCAGATCGTGCGAGTGAAGAAAACTCACTCAGTCGCCTTGAGGCACATGCAAGAGGTCAAAACAAAAGCAGCCAAGCACCAAGGCAGCCCTAACTTGGCCTACTGCATTCGGAAATCAATGTCATGACAAACCCAGCTCAAACACCTCCAACTTGATCCATGTTGATTTGTGCAAGCTGTCAGCTGCCGCTGGCCATCTCATTGCATGAAGTGGGGACAGCTCTTGAGCTGCCCCGGTTTGCAGGCGCCACATCTGTCAATACTAGCGCAACGCCTTGTCAATATCGTTCCTGGGGGAGATCAGTACATAGAACCATCTCATCAGCATGTCCACGCACAACTTATCCAAGTAATCCTGCCCACCTGCTCATCCGCCCAAAGCCCATCACAAACCCATCACCCGCCCACTTGACCCATCTATTTACTACCTGGTTTGACTTGATCAAACCAACCAAACAGTCAGACACTCAGGACATGTCAGGTCGAAAACGGTCTGTGCCCTGCGAGCTAAGCCAAGCACCCTGGCAAAGGCGGGCTTTGCTGCGCCTTGCGCCCACTTTCTGAAACGGCATTGACATTTGCTTGGGGCAGTCAGACATTCCCAGCAGCAATGGGGGATCTCGAACAAAGCCATGCGCTGATTCGAAACATTGGCGGACTGATTCTATTGCTATCACGCCGCCAACGAGAACAAAGCCACACTCCAAGGAGCATTTGTGTGGCAAACTAACTTCAACGCCTGGGCTCGACCGCGCTATGCTGCCACACCCCATGGCCTCTTCCTGATGCAGGCCTGAGGAAGCAATGGCACAGCGGGTCACATGTACAAAAGGGGGAAGTGACCTGAACGACGACACACAAACTCTGCAAATTCTGTGTTTTTGGGGGGAGGGGCCCAAATGCGTTTTTGCAGGGGTTGCCTCCATCCTCCCAAGGCTTGGTGAACAGAGCGACGTGGCAGTTTCACGCCTTGAAGGATGCCACAACCCGCTAGACCCACTAGCGGACAGGTTGCTTAAGTATGCAACCCAAAGCTGTTGCGTTTGATGAATTCCCGGATCGAGAGACTCCATGTATGAAAGAGCTTGTGATCTGGACAAACCCTTCGACAGGTCCTTTTCTGATTCCGTGAGCTTTGCATCGGCAAGTATTGGGTCTCTTACACAAACCCCGTCAGTGAACGTGCTGGACACTGAATAAACCTTCCGATTCCTCGAGCCGACGAATGCCCCCATAAAACAGCCAGAAAGAAGCTGAACAAATGAAACTAAAGCTGATAGCATTAGTTTATTCATTTATTTATGTGTTAAATAAAAAGCAAGCAGCCCAACCCATCCCCAAATCGCGTTCTACCTGCTGCCAAATGGCTCAGCCGCTGCTCCTGCCGCAGTAGCTGCTTCTGCCACAGCACCAGCCGCGGGAGGTTCACCTGCCACAGCACCAGCCGCAGGAGCTGCTTCTGCCGCCGCACCAGCCGCAGGAGCTGCTTCTGCCGCCGCACCAGCCGCAGGAGCTTCTTCTGCTTTGCCGGCCTTGGCATGAAGCCCGCTGGGCTGCAGTTTCGGCACATGCGACGCCTGCTCATGGGCGCCTTCCGGCGTCGCGGCGCAAGCAACGCACAGGATCCCAGCAACACACAAAACAAAAGCTAATGCTTCAAATCAAGAGATTAGGCAATATTGGGCAAGCTGTTCCCCACTACTCCGCTCAACGTACTGCTGCCCCCAAGTTCGGCACTGCTGCCTCTTCCGGCCTGGCAGCATGATGAAACACAGTTTTGGCCAACAGCCATCAAGGCCGGGGAAAAGATGACTGACGGAGCTGAACATCCCGGCTTGCACCTGTCCTCTGCGGCCAGCAAAATGAAACAAGCGGGCTTGTGAAGGCATCCCCAGGGACCCGCTTAGGTGATGGCAAGCTGTTCGCCCATTCAAGCGTCGTGTCTTCCTGCTGCCTGTCTGGACTCTTGCTCCTGACCCCTGAGAAGACTCCCAATGAGTCATGCCGACACCCCAAACTTGGTACCTTGGGGAAGGCCTTTATCAATGGGGTGTGGAGAGGGAATGCCACCCGAAATGGCTGTGGCCCCAACGCTACACCCATTGAACTTTGAGATCATATGAACATTCCAGATTGTCACTCTTTGATCTCAGCTAGCAACTAGGCGCTTTGCCTGCCCTCTCTGACTCTCTGGGCCTTTCCCTTGGCACCTCTGGAGCTGTTTCAACCTCGGGTGGCTGCGCATTGGGGCACGCAAATTGGGCAAAGCAAAGCTGTTCTGGCCGGCGGCTGCTTGCCATTACCTTACAGCAAAAGCGCACCAATACTTCTAGCATGTGAATCCAAAGCAACCGGTACTTACCTCATGGTGCGCTTCTGATCTTGAGTGCCCACTGCCAAAGTTATTTATATCATCTTGCACATCGCACACTCCTGCCCAATGACACCGCGAAATCGGAAACCACGTAGGACATTCCACGTTGGCATGCGAGTAAATCAAACAATGTGTTAGCAGTATGGCTTCCAAGGCCTTTTGGCGTTTCATCACCCCGCCAGATCACGATTCTGCAGGCCTCCGCTCTGCAAAATCCAAGGCGCCAAAGGCGAAGCTGGCGAAGCTGGCGAAGCTGGCGAAGCTGGCGAAGCCGGCCAAGCCATCGAAGCCGTGGGCGCAGCCGGCGACGCGGGCGACGCGGGCGACGCGGTCGGCGCCGCGCTGCCCGGCTCTTTCTCCGCTTTGCCCTTGCTGCTCTTGGACTTGGAGCGCGGCTCCTGGCAAATCGCCCGGCACCGCGATAGGAAACCATCTTGGGAATGCTTGGGGCAGACTCTCAATTTCAGGACTGGCCCAGAGAAAAGACTCTTCGGCCCTATGGCGGATCAGGACGCTTGGGTACATCCCCGGTGCAATCTTTCCATACCCAGCTACCGCACCACAAGCCAGAATCGTCTTCCTGGCATTCCGCGGACAACATCGGGCACTTCACATCAACTGCTGAGTGGGTTGGCAGATTGTGTCTGTCAACCAGCCCGCCCCTCGTCAAACTTCAAGCAATGGGTGCCGATCGCCACGACTCTGCTCGAGTTGGTGTGAGATGCTTGGGCCATGGTCGCATGTTTTACAGGAAGTGTCGTCTCCCCCATGCCCCCGATGCCCCACACCGCTCGACCGTCCCACGGCGCCTTGGACGCCTTTCGTGGGGCCTTGGAGCTGCTCCTGTCCGCCGAAGACATGCGATGCTCCACCCGAAAGGATCTATTCACAACACCTAAAACGGCCAAAGCTAGGTCTTGAAATAGGGTAAAACCGGGTTTGGTGACAAATCAAACCAGGATTCTACAAACTGGAAAGCAGGAAAGCGACCAAGAACCAAGGGTCGTGGTTAAACGGGGCTGATAGAAACCTGAAATTGCGGGGCAACCCGAACCCCAGTCCTCATCATGTGCGGATCCAATGGCCCCCGTGCAGCAGCCAAGTCCCAGCGGGTGGTCGCCTTAGACCGTCTCAAGCGGCTACATGGGCTACACAGGGCCTAAGTCATGATACTGTGGATGGACCAAATCCGTTCGCACCACTTTGAAACCATGGGAAACCAGCTGTCTTTGGTATGTACAGGGGAATCATCCTTCCAGGGTTTCTTAGGTGGTTCAGGATTTTTCCATCCACAGTATTGGTGTCTCTCACACATTTAACGGCCCTTGTAGTCGCAAGGTGTCCTTTTGGTGTCCCTTGCAAACCATCGGAAAAAGGGTCTGTTTGAGAACCTCCTATGTGTCATGTTGGTCCCAAAATTGTGCAAAACCACAGAAGACCTCTTGGTGGGTGTCTTTTCGAGGCGCCGATGGCACAAAGGGCAGGCCAGCTGCAATCAGTGACCCTGGGGAAAAACAAATGCAACTCTTTGGCGGGAACCCACCAAACAAAAAGACAACAAGTAGTCACTGAATTCTGCATGACTGGAGTACAGGTAGCTCCAACAAGATGCACCGAGCAAGGACTTCCCAATTCCACATAGACACCCTCGCCACTGCGGGCGGCGCCAACGTGAATGACATTCTACTGGCGATCGCTTCAGTTGGTAATCATCTCTGGAAGCAATCTTCAATTGCAACCGCATGACACATATGATGCTCACATCTTGATCAACCAACCACGCTGACACAGGCCTTCAATTTCTGGCTAGTCATAAACCCAGATGCACTCTCCCTGCTTCCTTCAGTCAGGGATAACTGTTCTTTCGCATTGGACCTCGCAGGATCCTCCGATTAGAGGTGTCAGAAGTTGGGTTGTCATCACTGGAAGCAGCCTCAACTGCAACCACATGCCACATATGATGCTCAAATCATGAAAAACCAACCACGCTAACACAGGCCTTCAATTTATGGCTAGTCATAAGCCCAAATGCACTCTCCCTGCTTCCTTCAGTCAGGGATAACTGTTCTTTCGCACTTGACCTCGCAGGATCCTCCGATTAGAGGTGTCAGAAGTTGGGTTGTGATCTCTGGAAGCAACCTTCAACTCCAACCACATGCCACATATGATGTTCAAATCATGACCAACCAACCACGCTGACACAGGTATTCAATTTATGCTAGTCATAAACCCACATGCACTCTTGCTGCTTCCTTCAGTCAGGGATAACTGTTCTTTCGCATTGGACCTCGCAGGATCCTCCGAGCAGACGTGTCAGAAGTTGGGTTGTCATCTCTGAAAGCAACCTTCAACTCCAACCACATGCCACATATGATGTTCAAATCATGATCAACCAACCACGCTGACACAGGCCTTCAATTTATGGCTAGTCACAAGCCCAAATGCACTCTCCCTGCTTCCTTCAGTCAGGGATAACTGTTCTTTCGCATTGGACCTCGCAGGATCCTCCGACTAGAGGTGTCAGAAGTTGGGTTGTCATCTCTGAAAGCAATCTTACACTGCAACCGCATGCCACATATGATGCTCAACTCATGACCAACCAACCACGCTGACACAGGCCTTCAATTTATGCTAGTCATACACCCACATGCGCTCTCCCTGCTTCCTTCAGTCAGGGATAACTGTTCTTTCGCATTGGACCTCGCAGGATCCTCCGATTAGAGGTGTCAGAAGTTGGGTTGTCATCTCTGGAAGCAATCTTCAACTGTAACAACAAGCCACATATGATGCTCAACTCATGCTCAACCAACCACGCTGAAACAGGCCTTCAATTTATGGCTTGCCATAAACCCACATGCACTCTCCTTGCTTTCTTCAGTCAGGGATAACTGTTCTTTCGCATTGGACCTCGCAGGATCCTCCGATTAGAGGTGTCAGAAGTTGGGTTGTCATCTCTGGAAGCAACCTTCAACTGCAACCACATGCCACATATGCTGCTCAAATCATGCTCAACCAATCGCGCTGACGCAAGCCTTCAATTTATGGCTAGTCACAAGCCCAAATGCACTCTACCTGCTTCCTTCAGTCAGGGATAACTGTTCTTTCGCATTGGACCTCGCAGGATCCTCCGATTAGAGGTGTCAGAAGTTGGGTTGTCATGTCTGGAAGCAACCTTCAACTGCAACCACATGCCACATATGATGCTCAAATCATGCTCAACCAATCGCGCTGACGCAAGCCTTCAATTTATGGCTAGTCACAAGCCCAAATGCACTCTCCCTGCTTCCTTCAGTCAGGGATAACTGTTCTTTCGCATTGGGCCTCGCAGGATCCTCCGATTAGAGGTGTCAGAAGTTGGGTTGTCATGTCTGGAAGCAACCTTCAACTGTGACCACAAGCCACATACGATGCTCAAATCATGCCCAACCAACCACGCTGACATAGGCCTTCAATTTATGGCTTGCCATAAACCCACATGCACTCTCCTTGCTTCCTTCAGTCAGGGATAACTGTTCTTTCGCATTGGACCTCGCAGGATCCTCCGATTAGAGGTGTCAGAAGTTGGGTTGTCATCTCTGGAAGCAACCTTCAACTGCAACCACATGCCACATATGATGCTCAAATCATGACAAACCAACCACGCTGATACTGGCCTTCAATTTATGCTAGTCATACACCCACATGCGCTCTCCCTGCTTCCTTCAGTCAGGGATAACTGTTCTTTCGCATTGGACCTCGCAGGATCCTCCGATTAGAGGTGTCAGAAGTTGGGTTGTCATCTCTGGAAGCAACCTTCAACTGTAACCACAAGCCACATACGATGCTCAAATCACGCTCAACCAACCACGCTGACATAGGCCTTCAATTTATGGCTTGCCATAAACCCACATGCACTCTCCTTGCTTCCTTCAGTCAGGGATAACTGTTCTTTCGCATTGGACCTCGCAGGATGCTCCGATTAGAGGTGTCAGAAGTTGGGTTGTCGTCGCTGGACGCAGCCCGCAACTGCAACCACATTCCACATTACCAGTAGAGCCGGCGAAGCCGGTGGGCGGAAGTTTCAAAAATATAAAAACTATAGGTCTCTTTCTCTTTCTTTTCTTGACTCTTTTTCTCCGTCATTCTTCCTTTCTTCCTTTCTTTCCTTCCTTCCTCCCTTCTTTCCTTCTTTCTATCTGTCTTTTCTTTCTTTCTTTCGTTTGCTTGTCTATCTATCTTTCTCTACCTATCTATACCTAACTACCTATCTATCTATCTCTCGTGTTATCTATCTATCTGCTTATCTATCTATCTATCTCTCTATCCATCTTTTCTATCTATCTCTCTATCTCTCTATCTATATATCTACCTATCTCTCTATCTCTCTATCTATCCATCTCTCTATATCCCTCTATCTCTGTCTCTCTCTTTCTCTATCTGTCTCTCTATCCCTCTTTCTTTCTATCTTTCTATCTCTCTATCTCTCCTTCTTTCTATCTATTTATCTCTCTATCTCTTTCTATCTACCTATCTATCTATCCATCTCTCTCCCGCGTATCTATCTATCTGTCTATCTATCTATCTCTATATCTCTCTATGTATCCCTCTGTCTACCTATCTATCCATCTCTCTCTCTCTATCTATCTCTCTATCTATCTATGTATCTATCTCTCTATCTCATTATCTCACGTGTATTTATCCATCTCTCTATCCATCTATCTATTTATCTATCTGTATTTCTAATTATCTATAGATCTACCTATCTACCCATCTCTCTATCTACCTCTCTCTCTACCTATCTATCTATCTATCTATCTACCTCTCTATCTACTTATCTATCTATCTATCGATCTATCTATCCATCTATTTATTTCTCTATCTATCTACCTATCTATGTATCTCTCTCTATCTCTGTTTCTATCTATTTATCTATCTCTCTATCTATCTATCTATCTGTCTATCTATCTATCAGTCTCTATCTGTCTGTGTATCGTTTATCTAACTATTTATTGATCTCACTATCTATCTATCTATCTCTTTTTCTTTCTATTTATATATCTCTCTATCTCTCTCTCTATCTATCTATCTATCTCTCTCTTTCTCTCTATCTATCTATGTGTCTCTCTATCTCTTTATCTCTCTCTCTCTCTGTCTATTTATCTATCTATCTTGCTCTCTCTCTCTCTCTCTCTATCTATCTATCTATCTATCTCTTTCTTTATCTCTTTCTATCTTGACTTTGCGTACTACCGTACTTAAAAGTTGCGATTTTCGAGCCCCTCTGCGAAAGTGGACTTCACGGACTACTTTCGTACTTAAAAGTTGCGATTTTCAAACCCAGCTGCGAAAGTGGACTTCACGTACTACTTTCGTACTTAAAAGTTGCGATTTTCGAGCCAGCTACGAAAGTGGACTTCGCGTACTACTTTCGTACTTAAAAGTTGCGATTTTCAAGCCCGGCTGCGAAAGTGGACTTCGCGCACTACTTTCATTCTTAAAAGTTGCGATTTTCAAGCCCCAGCTGCGAAAGTTGACCTTGCAAAAGTGCTGCGCCTGCCACGAAAACGAAATATGCACTTGACCTTGCGAAAGTGATGCGCCTGCCACGAATTTTGCCCTTGACCTTGCGAACGTGCTGCACCTGCCACGAATTCTGCACTTGACCTTGCGAAAGTGATGCCCCTGCCACGAAATCTGTTCATGACCTCGCGAAAATGCTGCCCCTGCCACGAAATCTGCACGCGCCGCCTTGCGCGTCCGTGCCTGTCACAAAATCTGCACTTGACCTTGCGAAAGTGATGCACCTGCCACGAAATCTGTACCCGACCTTGCCAAAATGCTGCGCCTGCCACGAAAATTGAACCTTGCGAAAGTGTGCGAGTCCGTGCCAATGGTCCCGCCCAAGCCCGTCCCGCACCCGTCGTCCGTCACACGCCGCGACCGGGTAGCTTTCAGCCAGCCGGAGAAGCCAAAACCCGCAGAGGGTTGCACTTTTTGCAGATTTCTATTCCCCCGCCACACGTATACGCACGTTTTCTCGCATGCATTCATTCTTTCTTCATCTCATCTTTTCGCAGAGCTACCTTTCAACTAGTTTCCGTAACTCGGAAGTTTCCTTCTAAACTTCCTTTGATAATGCTCAAATCATGCTCAATCAACCACTCTGACACAGGCCTTCAATTTATGGCTTGCCATAAACCCACATGCACTCTCCTGGCTTCCTTCAGTCAGGGATCACTGTTCTTTCGCATTGGACCTCGCAGGATCCTCCGATTAGAGGTGTCAGAAGTTGGGTTGTCATCTCTGGAAGCAACCTTCAACTGTAACCACAAGCCACATACGATGCTCAAATCATGCTCACAGGCCTTCAATTCGGGGAACTGGCTCTGCCGAACGTACTAAACAGGGGTGGTCCCGGACCCGCAGTCGCGTCAGAGGCTAGAATTGCTTAGTAATGGATCCCGAACATGCGCCAAAGTCCAAGGTAAACATTCACGCTAACATCATGTCCTTCGAGCCCACTGAAGGGATGGACAATTCACACTCATGAACCCACGCGAACTCTCCCTGCTTCCTTCAGTCAGGGACAGCGGTTCTTTGGCATCGGGAGGCTTGCGAGGTGTCAGCTGAGCCGTGGCCCATTGGGATGACCAAATCATGTGCGATAGCCCCTTCGCTTTGAGAGGTAAACATAAACCAACATTATGCTGTTCCTGGCGCCCAGTACCTGTTCCAATGCTCGGAGTTTTCAAGGCAATGGGGGATATGCGTTGCACGGCGGAGCCCCTATCATTCTGCCACGGCGCATTCGTTCGGTAGGGCGGCTTGTCAGGCAATACCTCCAGAGGGCAAGCAACGCCCGGCTGCAGACTTGAGGGACAAAATGGGAGCTCTTCGGGGCTACCCACCTACACAGCATCATTGCACAACATAGCAAACCGCAACCAGGTTGGTACGCAAGTGGCCATGCGTAATCAGTGCCAGGCCGGTAGTGTTTGCAGGTGACAGCGTTGTTGTTTTTCCTTTTTTTTTCTCTTGTTTCTAACTAATTAAAGGAGATTTCTACTTTTGTACCAAGTAGACACTTGCAAACCCATGTCTAAATGTCTAAGTGCTCTCTGATTTGGGCACGGATGGGCGAATGCAATCTTCCAGGATGGAGTCAGCCAAAAGCCGCAACTTCTCCGAGTAGATGGACCTCGTGGCACGGCCATCTGATGCCACAAGGACACTTGAATTCGGAATTCGTCAAAATCGGACCCAGAAGGGCCACCCTAACAAACAAGTCCAAGATCCATAACAGCCACAATTTGAAAGCAAAAACCCACTCTGCTTTGTTCTTATCAGCGACTTAGAAGAAACAGCTGCGCAAAGTCCTTCGTGAAACAAAGGGTGACTTTCGCGACTCCAGCGCGAATCTTTCGCAGTGGTGCAAGGATCTTTGGATCAACCCACCCGGTAGAGGTTCCATGAAACATGGGAGGGGAGCCAAAGGACCAAGGCCCAAGAGTGGAAGCACAGCAAAGTGGCTCAGGCCACTGAAAAACGCGCATCTGCAACACCCTTAGACAGGGAGGCCCGACAAAATCTGAGAAACAAAGCTTAAGGACGGACATGTTGGCGTGTTTGCGTACGCAAGGTTGTATCGCGACTCCACCAAAGGGCATCATATGGCGTCATTGTGAGCCTGTGCAACAGACTGCTGCACAAGCCGAGTATGGCAGAATCGAACATAGAACAAACAGTTTGCTGTCAGCTGCCAAATCCACAATGCACCAAGTCTAAAGTAATAGCCACACGGCTGCCGTCGTCCATTGGCTGCTGGATTCGGCAAGGATGGCCCAAGTGCCAAACGCCGTTTCATCAAGTCATAGCCGCTCATCATTGCCATCGACTGTTGCAAAAAAATAGAAGGTTTCTTCTCAGCTCTCAGCAGTGGATGACAACCAAACAATCCAGCCAATGGAGGGCAAGCAGAAGGTTCTCTTTTACTTGACTGCTGCTACCTCTGCCATCCTGACAGAATCCGCGGAAGCTGACATTTGGCCTCTCGCAGCCAAGAGGCCACATCTCGTCGCAGCGCGCCTCTGAATCCAGGGGTCCGGAGCGCGCCTCAATGGCAGTTACTGGCTGCATGTAAGCAAGGTTGCCAAATGGAACCAAGAGAGCATAGTCGCACGAATGTCCGGCTAACGGAGAAAGATCTTGCAGCTTCGTGTCAACAAAACATGTGAAGTAGATGCAAGCGGTACGTCTAGGTGTGGAGCCCTTGTGCAAGTAAATTGAACACAGAATGACAGGTCCAAGACTTGCAACGTGCAGGGCTTCAATGATGTCGTTGAAGCTGCCAAAGGGGAACCACTGGAAATTGGCGTGCACACTTAGCGTCCACAACCGGCTGGCATTTGCTGGACATACAAGGGCTAACAAAAACAATCACGCGCCCGTCCAACCAACATGCAAAAACTGAATTAAAAACATGAAGCCAGACGAACCAGTTTGAATGTGTTGGATTCGCTCGGGCTGAGCTTCGGTCTGACACCGCCAGCTCTAACTGACATTCCCCCACCAATACAAACATCTGTACCTTTGTACCAGCAGGGGGATGTTTGCAAGACAACCTCATGGACATCCCCCCTTCTCTATGCTCTCATTAGGGTGCACAACACGAGGCAGAAGCGATTTTGAACATGTTTGCATCCCAACCCTGAACCCTCAAACGTCCATGGGAAGTGCATATTTCACGAGTCAAGCTTCTGACTACGCATAGTGCGCCTACGGGTCCCAGAGATTCATCCCACCGGGGCCTTCTTGGCATCACCTGGTTGTGTCAGCCAGGGACGGTCATAGGCGGCGTCCAGGCGGGGAGCCGTTTCAGACTCCTGGTACTTGGGCAGGCACTCCTGAGGGATGCCACGTGGCTGAGCGGGTCGAAAATGGGTACCCAAAATTGAACCCTGGTAAATGGAACCAACGACTAAAACCTGCGGTCCTCTGGTGGTTTAGTTTTGACCCATACCCGTGTGTGTTGGACGTAAATACTTAGGGCCCCACGTGGTTGTGCTATGACCATGACGTGATTGGGTACTGGTACCCATTCTAAATGTCCAAATTCTTTCCGTGCCCCAAAAGCTGACAAATGCCTCAAATGCCTTTCCAACAATGATTCAGTTGACACGTACTTCAGGATGTGAAGGGGCACCAGGTGGAGCATTGGCTGCGGACTTCAGAAAATCATCGCAAGGCTCATGCAACAGTTTCTCTGAATCAAGCAGCGCATGCATGATGCTTCAAGACGCCAATTTGAGTCAGCGGTCATTGCAACTGGAAGGAACGCGGCACAGTATGCGCTTGCAAGGAGTACGCTTGCATTGTCATTTGGTCAATGAAGCTGACTTGGCGCCCCCCTCTAGGGGATTAGGGGGGAGCTTCCAACGACGCCAGAAGTCGGCGAATTTCCGTTCGTGGGCGGGTTTAACATGGTTACAGCGACCATAGCGACGCGACACTGCACGGCTTGCCTTGTTTTACATGCAATGAATACGCCGAAAACGTCACAAACTGAAAAATACCTCCGCACCGCGGAATTTCCTTTTGGAAGGGTGACGCACAAGGGACCCGAGCTTTGGCATGAGGTAACGTATTTGGTGCATGATAGGGGATTTGCTCGCTTTTAGTGGGATCCTTGCAGTTGGGGGCTCCATGTGCCAACTGACATCAGCTGGGGGGGGGGGCGGGCGCGACGGCGAGTACCATGAGGCGATTTTGTGACGTTCGCTCAATTTCACTTACTGGGCAAGTGCTTGTGAGCGGCGCCGCTGGCGGAGGGTGGTGGGCTCATCCTCCCTGGCTCGCCCTGGGTTTGTGCGGGTTTTATGGGTTTTCTGTGCGTCTTGTCTGGGTCTCATGCGTGTGGAGCGGTTTTGTGTGGGTTTTAGTTGGATTTCGTGTGCGTCGTGGACAGGTTTGCGTGGGTTTTGTGTGGAGTGCGTGTGGGTTTTGGAATAAGGGTGGTGGGGTCATCCGCGCATTCAATCTTGGAGTCATTCGCGCATTCAATCCCGCAGGGTCATCTGCGCACGCAATCTTGGAGTCATTCGCGCATTCAATCCCGGAAGTGCCCACCACAGCAGAGGGTTTGGGGGCTGGGGTTTGGGTTTGGGGTTGGCTTACATCACTTTAGGTTTTTGGGTTTGGGGTTTAGGCTTTTGGGTTTGGCTTTAGGATTTAGCCTTTTGGGCTTGGCTCGCATCACTTTAGGTTTTAGGTTACTGTAGGGTTTAGGCTTTTGGGTTTGGCTTTAGGATTTAGGCTTTTGGGCTTGGCTCGCATCACTTTAGGTTTTAGGTTACTGTAGGCTTTAGGGTTGTGGATTTGGGCTTAGGGTTTAGGCTCTTGGGTTTGGCTTGCATGACTTTAGGTTTTAGGTTACTGTACGTTTCAGGGTTCTGGGTTTGGGTTTAAGGTTTAGGCTTTTGGGTTTGGCTCACATCACTCTAGGTTTTGGGTTTTGGGTTTAGGCTTTTGGGTTTGGCTTTAGGATTTAGGCTTTTGGGCTTGGCTCGCATCACTTTAGGTTTTAGGTTACTGTAGGGTTTAGGCTTTTGGGTTTGGTTTTAGGTTTAGGCTTTTGGGTTTGGCTCACATCACTCTAGGTTTTGGGTTTTGGGTTTAGGCTTTTGGGTTTGGCTTTAGGATTTAGGCTTTTGGGCTTGGCTCGCATCACTTTAGGTTTTAGGTTACTGTAGGGTTTAGGCTTTTGGGTTTGGTTTTAGGATTTAGGCTTTTGGGCTTGGCTCGCATCACTTTAGGTTTTAGGTTACTGTAGGCTTTAGGGTTGTGGATTTGGGTTTTAGGGTTTAGGCTCTTGGGTTTGGCTTGCATCACTTTAGGTTTTAGGTTACTGTACGTTTTAGGGTTCTGGGTTTGGTTTAGGTTTAGGCTTTTGGGTTTGGCTCACATCACTCTAGGTTTTGGGTTTTGGGTTTAGGCTTTTGGGTTTGGCTTTAGGATTTAGGCTTTTGGGCTTGGCTCGCATCACTTTAGGTTTTAGGTTACTGTAGGGTTTAGGCTTTTGGGTTTGGTTTTAGGATTTAGGCTTTTGGGCTTGGCTCGCATCACTTTAGGTTTTAGGTTACTGTAGGCTTTAGGGTTGTGGATTTGGGCTTAGGGTTTAGGCTCTTGGGTTTGGCTTGCATCACTTTAGGTTTTAGGTTACTGTACGTTTTAGGGTTCTGGGTTTGGGTTTAAGGTTTAGGCTTTTGGGTTTGGCTCACATCACTCTAGGTTTTAGGTTACTGTAGGTTTTAGGCTTTTGGGTTTGGCTTTAGGATTTAGGCTTTTGGGCTTGGCTCGCATCACTTTAGGTTTTAGGTTACTGTAGGGTTTAGGCTTTTGGGTTTGGTTTTAGGATTTAGGCTCTTGGGCTTGGCTCGCATCACTTTAGGTTTTAGGTTACTGTAGGCTTTAGGGTTGTGGATTTGGGTTTAGGGTTTAGGCTCTTGGGTTTGGCTTGCATCACTTTAGGTTTTAGGTTACCGTACGTTTTAGGGTTCTGGGTTTGGTTTTAAGGTTTAGGCTTTTGGGTTTGGCTCACATCACTCTAGGTTTTGGGTTTTGGGTTTAGGCTTTTGGGTTTGGCTTTAGGATTTAGGCTTTTGGGCTTGGCTCGCATCACTTTAGGTTTTAGGTTACTGTAGGTTTTAGGCTTTTGGGTTTGGCTTTAGGATTTAGGCTTTTGGGCTTGGCTCGTATCACTGTAGGTGTTAGGGTTACTGTAGGCTTTAGGGTTGTGGATTTGGGCTTAGGGTTTAGGCTCTTGGGTTTGGCTTGCATCACTTTAGGTTTTAGGTTACTGTACGTTTTAGGGTTCTGGGTTTGGGTTTAAGGTTTAGGCTTTTGGGTTTGGCTCACATCACTCTAGGTTTTAGGTTACTGTAGGTTTTAGGCTTTTGGGTTTGGCTTTAGGATTTAGGCTTTTGGTCTTGGCTCGTATCACTGTAGGTTTTAGGGTTCTGGATTTGGGCTTAGGGTTTAGGCTCTTGGGTTTGGCTTGCATCACTTAGGTTTTAGGTTACTGTAGGTTTTAGGCTTTTGGGTTTGGCTTTAGGATTTAGGCTTTTGGTCTTGGCTCGTATCACTGTAGGTTTTAGGGTTCTGGATTTGGGCTTAGGGTTTAGGCTCTTGGGTTTGGCTTGCATCACTTAGGTTTTAGGTTACTGTAGGTTTTAGGCTTTTGGGTTTGGCTTTAGGATTTAGGCTTTTGGTCTTGGCTCGTAGTAGCTTTTGGCTCTTGGCTGTTCATCACTGTAGGTGTTAGGGTTCTGGATTTGGGCTTAGGGTTTAGGCTCTTGGGTTTGGCTTGCATCACTTTAGGTTTTAGGTTACTGTAGGTTTTAGGCTTTTGGGTTTGGCTTTAGGATTTAGGCTTTTGGTCTTGGCTCGTATCACTGTAGGTTTTAGGGTTCTGGATTTGGGCTTAGGGTTTAGGCTCTTGGGTTTGGCTTGCATCACTTTAGGTTTTAGGTTACTGTAGGTTTTAGGCTTTTGGGTTTGGCTTTAGGATTTAGGCTTTTGGCCTTGGCTCGTATCACTGTAGGTGTTAGGGTTCTGGATTTGGGCTTAGGGTTTAGGCTCTTGGGTTTGGCTTGCATCACTTTAGGTTTTAGGTTACTGTAGGTTTTAGGCTTTTGGGTTTGGCTTTAGGATTTAGGCTTTTGGCCTTGGCTCGCATCTCGAGAAGGGTTTCTTGCAAACATCACACCAACCAGAGGAAAATCAAACACATGAGACTGAGACATGATGCTTAAGTCACGCACAGAAGGACTCAAGACCCCTGACGAAATGCCTTCTTCAAATCTACTTGTCTACACTGAAGAATCCTTGGACACTCGCTCAGCACAACTCAAGGTAGGAAGCCCTTGAGCAGAGCTGCCTAGTGCTTGCCAGTAGCTCCAATCAAACGTGCGTTCCATGAACAACACTCCCGCGTAGGATGCTTTACAAGGGTTGTCTAAAAGCCCTATTACAAGATTGACGCTCGTCCCTACCAGCCCCAAGTAAAACGGAGACATGTCAATTTGACCCGCTCCAATTTTTCAAGCAAGGCTTACCTGCAGAAAGACCGCCAAACGTCTCTGCTTGTCAGAGGCCAGATCCCAAAGCTCCAGTGGACACAGAAACAACGCCGCCCCCTTGTTGGGGTCGTCTCCAAAACAGGCTTTGAAACCCCAAAGCAGCCCTCGAAATAGCAACAATTCAACCTGCAGGTCATTTTGCTCTAACGACCTCCAGCTACTTCCAGAACCAGGCCATGCCAGCAAATCCAACAGCAGCAGTCTCCAATGACCGACCTACAAACGTCGCAGCTCGACCACTTTTCCTGGGCATGGCTGAGTCTTAGGTTTCAAGCCAGAGCCGCAGCTGCAGGAATGGACTTCGAGCACTATTTTTGTACTTTAAACTTGCGACGTTGCAGCCGGAGCTCTCTGAAAGCTCTTCGCGCACTATTTTTGTACTTAAAACTTGTGATTTTGTAGCCGGAGCTGCGGGAGTGCGCTTCGCCTTTGGCGCGAGGCTTCATCAAAAACACAGCGCGAACCTCACACGCACCAGCGCGTACCCACGTCCCTGCCAGCAAAAAATGCATTTTTGCTTCAAAAAAAAAGCGTTTGGCACGAGGCTTCCTCAAAAAACATAGCGCGAACCTTCCAACTGTTTCCTGCCAGCAAAAAAAATGCGAACGGCACCATAACGGGACGCACGCGTCAGCCCGCGCCTCCATTTCGCGCGAGTCAGTCGCGGCGAAGACAACTTTCTGCGCACAGGGCCAGCGATTTGAGCGCGAACCTCGATCTAAGCCGGCCTTAACTCTTACCGTCAGAACCCCTGCGTGTAAACAACATCTGCGGAAAAAACAAGATGCACGCCAGTGCTGCCAAAACTCTTGCTGAAATCTGTATGACAAGATGTGGGCGTGGCCCTGATGGAAAGCGATCTCTGAGATGGGAAATATGATGCCCAGCCGCACCACGTGCACTTACTGCACGTCATACACCAAAACTTCCAGTCCATCGTCCCACTAGATCGCTTCCTCTTGCTCGTGGACACACGCACGTATTGCTCCTCTGTACAAGCAAACGCGGAGATCTTGCTGACCACCTGCTTTTCCGTCCACGGGTCGCCGTCGTGCGCGACCGTGGACTTCACCGTGTAGATGTCTTTTTTGGACTTCACCGTGGACTTCACCTTGGACTTCACCGTCGCAGCGGCTGCGGATGGCCGCTTGAAGGCGGCAGGTCGCTTCATGATGGAGGATCCATGGACAGAGCTATCGCCGAGCTGCGCCCATCACATCTCAGTCGGTTTATTAACCCTGGGTCAACATTAAAGGCATCAGGCAGAATAATTTCCTTCTGGAACCTGTAAAGTCGATGGAGGGGACATCTGGCACCACTGACTGACCACACCGAATCCCATTAGAACACACATGTTCAAGTGTGAAGATTTCCTTCAGATATGGTCCACAGGGCAGCAAGTTATTGGCTTGATTTGAGCCACGGACATGTTGTTTCTCCTCAAAACGACATTTGAACATTGGGTGGACCTCTGGCTAACCGCCGACAAAGAACACGTTCCAAGAAGCATGCACACTTATCACGACACATGTGACCACACATCGAGTCCATTATCATGCCTGTGAGCCCAAAAAACAATGAATGCACAAACGACCCCAGGATTGAATGCACAGACGACACCAGGATTGAATGCACAGACGACCCCGTGACCGGTTTTGGAAGGGTTTTGTAGGCGTTGGGCGGGCTTTGTGGGGTTTTGTATGTGGGTGTTGGCTGAGTGTTGTCTGTGGGTTTCGCGCGGGTTGTGTGTGTGGGTTTTCTTTGCGAATTGGATGGGCCTTGGGTCTCCCGACTCCACACCCCACACCCCACACTCCACACTCCACACTCACACACACACGCACACACACACAAACACAAACACGCTCCACAATCCACACTCCACACACCACACACACCACACACCACACACACCACACACCACACACACCACACAACACACTCCACACTCCCTCCCATCCACTCCCCACTCCCAACCCCCACCCCCAGCTCAAAGGGCTAGGCCAGCTCCAAAGCAAACATATATCAACCATCAGAGTCCTCAAGACATATACCAAATCAAATCAAACATATACCAGTCATCAAAATCCAACATATTTCAATGATCAGAATCAAAGGACATGTCACCACCCACCCTGGCACCGCAGCAGAAGTCGGCGGAATGAGCCGGAGGCTCTACAGTAGGACTACAAAACCTGAAGAAAGCCCCCGGTGGGCTCGTTTTCGCCCCGCTCGGCATTTGCTCGCCACAAATTAGGCAGAATCGAATGTGCCCGCAAGGCAGTCAAGCCACTTCTTCCAGCTTGTGGGTCTGCGAGATGGTCCACGCCAATGCGTCGTCGTAGCCGGAGCACCAGCCTCCAATAGGCCACTGCTCGGGTTGTGACGAATGGCTGTTTGAACCCATTCAACAGGGTCCTCATATTCCCTGCCTTCCTGATCCGGCTTGCCCGAAAAATCCATACCGGTAAGACTTAATTTTCTGCCCGATTTCCAAGGCGGTCCCTGTCCGCCCCCCCCCCCCCCGCCGCTCCTGCCCACCAAACACAAACATTCGCAAGTTCCTACATGCGGGATTCAAATAGGATTGCTCGAGGCAATGCGCTGAGATTTGCAATTCAACATCGGAATGCGCAATTCAACTGGAAATGTGCAATTGAAGTCTGAATCCGCTAATGGGAATTAGTGTACACGCTCATCAATAGACTGATCTAGCCTTGGAACCAGCCAAGGGTCCCAAGACAACAACTCAAGCTGTAACGTTAAAGTGCACATGTTGAAACAACAGCACGCAGACGCTTTGTGAAACATGCATCTATCTCCCCCAGCTCGGATGCTTGCCGACATTGGAACCGCTGCAAAAGGACTTGTGTGGCTGCGCATGCTGCGCCATGGGCAAGGCATCCATTTAACCCAAAGACGACTTCACGGTCCCAAGTTGTGGGTTCACATGGCTCAAGCATTTGATGGACAACTCAACCTTGGAAAATCGCAGAAACAACATGAGAAACTTCAATATCAACATGCCTGCCTTAAAATTGATCACTCCCAATTTGCAAGGCAACATCGAGATTACACTGGCTGTCTGAAAAGCCGAGCCAATTGCAAAGGTTTGGACGCTGAATCTGGGAAACATTCAAAACACTCAGAGGCCAAAGGGCCCAAACATAGGCCAGGGCCCATGTGTTGACAAATGGGGGGCTGCGGAACATTAAAACACAATTATCTGAAAACTGCTTTGGCCAAGAGAGGTGGCTCAAAACACCAGGCCGCACCAGGCCACCCCCTTCGGTCCGCGGCACTCCGCAAGGGGCTCCGCAGCCAGGTGAGGAAGTCGAACTTGGAGATGTCTGCGGGCTCTGTGCCACCGATGCCTGACCGAAGGCTTCCGAGCACGTGACCGAGCCAAAGGCTGCCTCAGTGGCGCTAGGAGGCCCTAAATCCTAGGCAGAAAAGCTGCTGCAAGCTTGCTCTTGGCTGTCGGTTGCAAGAATGCAGGCTCTCGTCATCAGCGATCTGCCGCCTGAACCAAGGTGGAAACAAAAACCACCACTTATGGTGCACTTGCCCGAACTTGCAGGGATAAACGGGCCGCTACGCTGGGCGTAGCAACAAGCGTAGCAAAAAAACACCCTGACCATTCATGGATGCTTGGTCAACAGACAAAAAACTGCCGCGGCTGTAACTTAGCCCATGCTGAATTACAAGCTAGGAAAGCGCACCGCCGGCACGCTGTGCATCAATCTCCCGCCCCACTGCTTTTTGTTGAATCAAGTCCGCCAGGAATGCCTAACGCACAAGAAGCATCTGGAACCGGCCCTCTTTTTGCTTTGGCGCAGCCCAAATCGCCAAAATCGCCCGACCCACGCCTGAGTTCGGGGGAGGAGGATATTCTTGGACTGGGTCTGGTCGAGATGGATGGCCTTCGTAGTTGTACTCCTCAGATTTCCAGGCTGGCCCTTCATGCCCCAAGCCATTCCAGCCAGGCTGCACGGCTACAGCAACCGGAAAAGCAGGGGGCCAAGTGAACCTTCGAAGGTACACAGCAGGTTGAGGGATCAAGCCGCAATACAATTCGCTCAGTGCCAATTAGGGTCCCAACTTCTGTCCAACACCACATTCACTGCTGTTCGACTTCACGCGCTCGGGCCTTTGAAGGCTAACTGCTGAAATTGGCTTTGAATACAAGCCGAATTCGTGTAATTGCTGGAAGAAATCCAAACCAGGCTGTGCATTTGTTCATCCAATCAAACCAAAAGAGCCCCCCGGCCTGAGGCATCCAAACCTTGGCCTAGGCATCAACTTGAAACCTGTGCAACCCATCTCTGCTCTTGACCAAACGGACTCAAGGACACTTGTGCAACCTTGCCAAATTAGGGTCGTAACTGCCTTCCAGCCTGACACCGCCACGTGTCTGTTGAAAACCTCCGGCTGCAAAACTGCTGGCGCCCAAGCTGCCCGGCAAAAGAACAAAACCGAGGCGCGACGCCCAGGAAGTAGGTCTCGAACGTCTTCTCCCCTGAGCGGTTCATCCCGTTTAACCATGTTACACCCTTTTAGTTCGCGTCGTGCTGACCAAAACCCGCAGTGTGTCTTGTGGAGGCGGTGACAATCTGGCGCGGGCGTGCCGACTTCTGCGCAAACACACTTGAGCAGGTGGGCAGGCACGTGCGCAGTTCTAGAGGGACCCGCTTGAGCGGGTGTGCGTATCGTTTGGCTGGCGTGTGCGCAGTGCTGCACGGACGCACTTGTGTGCGCAGCTGAGAGGGTGCACGTGAACGGGTGTGCTCATGTCCCCCCCCACCAAGCAGGAACCGAAGCATATTTGTGCGTTGCAGTCAGGCTGAAGGTAACCCTTGCCCGCAACAACTCCCCTAAGACCCCATTTCGTGCTGCGGGTCACCCATACCTTTTAGTTGGATTGTTAGAGTAAACTTCTGACTATCACCTGAGGCCTGTACACTTCCCTTTAGTTGGATGGTTGTTTGCACGGCCTTCTAATCCAGTTGGGTTGTTTACACGGCCTATCCAGTTCGGTTTCCCTGTGCTGCCCAGCGCGGTTCTCCCAGCCTGGGGGTGCCAGCACATGGAGCCGCAGGAAGCCCGGGCGCAGCTTCGAGGCCACAAAGGGCACCAAGGGATGCACCGGAAGCCCTGACCAGGACACCACCTGGGCAACTCGATCGAGGAGTCGGCGTCGGGACCTGAGAGATCTGCCTGGTGACTTCCCCTCCGTCAAGAATTGTGTGCGGTTCATTGGTTGAGTGCTTGTTCTCTCTCATCCCTGGTGGTTCGTTGAAATATCGGTGGTTTCCCATGTCACATTTTTTGGTGTTGGCGTTTTCGCCCTCGAGCAGGCCTCTGTTTGGAAAGGAGTTTGTGCCATGGGATGGCGGATACCCGCGGTCCTTTCCATCTGCTTTTCAGTGCGTGCCACGCCCGGGGGGGGGGGCTTCCGTGGCTTTGGCCAGGTCCCAGCTTTGGCATGGCTTGTGTTTTGGTGTGGGGCCCTCGGCGTGGTGGATTAACAACACCTGGGATATTCTGCTGAACTCGTGAAGCAATCATTCGGATGCTGGGGAGGGGCCGTTCAGTTTCATGCATTCTGAGAGAATACCCTAACTTTGTCAAGTGTCCCATCCAGTTCTGGCTTGCAGCTACCTAGAGAAAACGTCACAAGCTAGTCACCGACCCATGTTTAACCCCAAACTTGCAGGGAGTACCCAAAAGCCGGCAACCCAAAACGCAGTGACTCCCTCTTGTAACTTCAGGCCCCACGCATGTCCTTTCGCTTTGTTCAACGAAGTGGATATGGTTCAAGAACTAGGGTCCCAGAGAGGAGCTCCCTAGCTGACAAAACCTATGAACTGGTGGTTCTTCCACGCTCATGCAGCTTGAAGGGGTAAGCGCTCTGGTTGCCAAGACGTAATCCCCCTGCATTCACAGGCCAGGCCAGCTCTGGCTGATGGCAGCTACAGCCACGTTGGCTGACGAGCATTCACATCCCTCTACCTCTAGGTCCTCCAGTAGAGAGGCTAGAATAAGGGTACCCTTTTTTCTGTAGTCTATTTTACTAGGGGAACCCTCCCCAAAAAAAAAGTAAAAGGGCACTACTGGGGGACCTAGACCTGCATCACAGCACGCCGGCGCCGCCCCCCACCCGGCGGAGCCACCCCAAACCCAGCGATCTGAGCTGAGCGAGCGGCGAAGGCCCCGCCCGGCGCGAGGCACCGGAGGCCCTGCGCGAGGGCAGCCTGGACGGCTTGCAGCCGCCTGGCCCGGACTCCCGGACCCACACTGCGTCCGCTTTGGCCAGGGCCGCAAGGGTGCTGGGGACCGCAACAATTGGTTGCGCTCAGTTTGACATCCAATTTGATGGGAAGGGGATGGCAATGTGCGGTTGAAGTTTTTTGAAGGGGCCATCACAAGCATGGCATAAAATTATGGACCGACAGGCTCCGTAACCAAGAAATTGTTGGGTGCTGAAAACAGACAACTTCCCAACCACAGTTGGAACACATTTGTCGGATCTGAGGCCATCAGGGAATCTACATCAATTCCGGGGAGCCTGCCAAGGCCCCAAGGCCCCAAGGGTCGCCACGTCGGACATCCTACGGGGGCGCTTGTAGGGTGCGGCCCGGCCACTCGGCCCCGCGCCTCTCTACCGGGCGGTGCCCCAACACGTCGCAACATCTTGAACAAATGCACGCACCTCCGAAGAGAGAGAGAGAGAGAGAGATAGACAGAAAGAATTGATGCTCGAATTCCCATTTCCCAGGATCCAACCAAAACACACGCCACTCGCATCCCAGCCCTGCGCACTTTTCTCACCTCCCCATCAGCCCCTCACACCCCCTCCCAAGTATCTCAGCCTCCGCACTCCCTCGCTGCGCGACATCCCGATCTTCCCGAAACCGCTGCAGTGAAGCGGCAGGTTCACCATCGGGGCATCGAAAGACCTGAGCTTGGACAATGCTGCATATGGGTAGGAAAACAAGCATGAAAGCAACATGAGGAAGCAAAAAGCAAAACGCACGTCAAGAGTTTGAGGCGTGTCACCTCCGCTCCGAAGCAAGGGCTCCCCATCCCGAACAGCCGTCGTCAGAGATCTCTTGCTGGATAGATGAAACGGCCACTCAACAAAAATCTGCAACACTCATAGGATTGATACATGCAAACGCTTCTGCCGCTGCCTCCAAACCTCCCAGAAAAGAGCGCAAGCCAGTGGCAACTGTCGCGCATTCGCGCCCGAGGGGCTCCAGTCCTTCCATGGGGTCCGGGAGCCTCGGCCGACGCATGGTCCAATGGCTCCGCGGAGTGGTCCATTTCTCGGGGGCCGGTTCCAAGTGTGGCAATGTGGGATCCCGCAGGCAAACTCTAGGATCTCAAGAAGCTCAAGCAGCTTTAACTGACACCAGCAGCCCTGCCAAGAATATCCAAGAATGCCATACACCAACAGCATCTCATCGTGTCACTGAGGAAGTTCATCCATACGCAGCAAGGCAGGCAACATGTGGTGGATTGCGCTTCCTGCAACAAATCACATGTTTAGAAACCGCATGCCAGCACAACCAGCCCCATCAGTCAAAACCCGTGCTTCTGCAACCAGGTCGTGCATCTTCACCGTGCAAAGCTATCTAAGTGATTCTAAGCATTGTGGCTGGCTGAACCAGCCGAACGCCAAGCCAGAAATTGGAGGCTCGCCAATGTGCCCTGGTGCCCCGGTGCCTGGTGCCTGTGGAGGGTTCTCGTTTGCAGTGTGCATGAATGAAGACCACTGCCACTATGCATCCTTCATGGCTGCACTCAGTTTCGACGGCAAGCTCTGGCTTGCAAACTGCAAACCTCCCCCTATGGATGTCTGTGCGGCGGGGAGCTGTGAGCTCTTGCTTGACTTTGAGCGTGGAGCCTGCGCACTGGTGGGGCCAAAATCCGCCACGGAAGCAGCGTGGCATCTTGGACCTTTTTTTGGGGACACATGTAGGGGAATGTGACTTACGTGGAAGATCCGCACCAAAAGCCCAACGGAGAGCGTGCTTGTTGACACTTAATTTTTTGGGCACGTTCCGGTTTCCTTGCCAAAACAGCTGCAATTCCTCTTCTGAGCCTGCTTCTTCGTGATGGGATTTGTTGGTGCAGTCTTGCCCAAACCTTTTCCCTTTTCAACCACAAATGCTTGGCTTTGGGTTTCAGTTTGGTTCCGCACTTGACAACCTGACCCATGTTGCTCACTACCCGGATGCGACATGGCCAAGGCCTCGGAAGCGTGCGAGCTGGTTCTGCTCTCTTCCTGCACGTCGGGCATCTCGTCGAGCGCGTCGGAGGGCAACTCAGAGGGCTCTTCCAAATCCGTGTCGTTGGTCAACTGGTCCTGCCGAGTTCTACCCAACAATGCGAGTGGACAGGGGCTGGTGGCGTTGATGCCCCCGTCGCGAACCTAACACCTACCAGAAATGTACCACTATGCCAGCCGCCCGCGATCCACAGTCAGGTGATTGACTTTTCCAACTACTCCAACCCCTAAACGCAATACACGCATCCTCCAACCGAGGGTGTCTAGTACTGTTGCGGGGAGTGTAGGGCAGGCCCAACCTACATAGCGTTCTCCACAAGCCAGTCAAAGTCCAGCAAATCATATGGCTGTGGGTTCAAATTAAACAACCAGTGGACCCCAGATTTTAGTTCATATTTCCATTACAAACCAGGGTTGAATTTTGGGTACCCATTTTTGACCCGCAGCCATATCTGACTCTCACCCACTCGAGGTTGCAGTGAGCATGTGTCAACGCTAGGGCACCACATGAAGACTCTGAGCCACGCCTCAGGGCACTCCTGCCCAGCCGGAGGGAAAGTGAGATCCACGATCACCAGCCTCAAGCGGCCCTCTCAGCTGCCTTCCGGCCATCTGGGGGTTTTAAGGTGCCTGAAAACCTCCCTTGGCAATCCTTTCGCGACCCCCACTTCTCCTTTCGGTCTTGAAAAGCTTGCTTTGGCACGATGGTTTTTCTGCTCTGCGTCTTGAGAAGCAGTTGGGTCACTTGACAATGACCTGCTGGAAGCGTCGCTTTCGTTCTCGAAGGGCTGGGCCCTGGGAGCTCGTCGGTGAAGCCCCGGATTTTGCCGGCGCAACTCCGCGCAAAAAGTGTGGCCTTGCCACCAACCGCAAGAAACCAAAACCACAAACTGCAAGTGTTTCTTGTTCGTAGTCGCTATCTGTGCAGTCCTTTCACGTTGCTTTCGCCGGCCTTTTGCGATGCAGGACGTTCCTTTCACGATGGTACTTCATTCAGGACCACCCTTTAGTAATTCACATCTGGCAATGTACCCTTCTGATCACTTCCAGGAAATCCACCCGCCCTGGGAAGCTGCGAAATCTCCGAAAGGACAAAAACATGAGTACATAAAAAGAGTACCGAGCAATGGGCCTGAGCTTGTGGAACCTCCGGTCTGAGGATGCGGCTGGCTGCCGGGGTGGCCATCTTCGCCAGCTGGCAGCGAAAACCAGTGTGCCACCGAAAACCGGTCAGAGGGACTCAAATCGAACCCATGGACAGTAAATACAAAGCGCATTTTTCACGGCATGTTCACAATCACAAGACTCATGCGAAAGGGGTCTGGAACTTTCATGACTCGACGTAGCCTCAAATGAGCGCTGCCCTGGAATGGACTGTCACTCCTTCTAGTTTGCTGCACATCTCTTCATCTTGGCTCAGCCAAGCTTCCAACAGCGGCCCCCGTGGTAAAAGCTCATGTAGACTCTTTAGCCTGCCTTGAATGCCAAGAGCCCTTCAACCTCCAAAGTTCAGCCCCGGCAGCTCTAGTTTGATTCGCCCTTCATTTCGGTTAAGCTAGTCAACACCGAGGCAAAAGGAGCAAACACTAAGCCAGTGCCAGTAAATCGTTCGGGCTTCCCAAACCTTCCCTCTGCCCTACCTTTTCTCTCACCGGGCAAGCATTGGAAGCTTGCGCCCGGAAGTCTGCCTGGCTGGTGCCTTCGAACTTCCCCCGCTGGTGACCCGGGGCCCGAGTAAGGGACCAAAGCTGTTAGGCTCGGAGCGCCTTGCGGGTCCAGCGGCTTTGGAGAAACTGGCGGCTGGACGCGAATTCTCCAGCCTTGCAGCCGGGGCAAGGCAATTCCAGAGCGCTTTCTGCACTCGGTGACCCCAAGTACGTGCAACCTTTACAGAACAGACCTCAGGTTGCAACCACCAGGGTTCTGGGCCACATTTCAAATTACTTCATGGCGGAAACTGTCTGACCGAATATGACTGCAAGGACTCAACGATGAGGGGCGTGGCACTTGTCGATTGCTTACCCTGCGCCCCAGCCGTCGTCTGGAAACCCGCATTACTTCTCCCGGGCTCAAACAAGAGAAGCCCCTGTGCAACGTCAAATCTGTGTAAATCCCGTGCGGTCGTCGCAGGCAGCCAAGTCAACGCACCCGTCCTGCATCTGTGTCTGTGTGTGTGTGTGCGTGTGGTGGGTTTCTTGCTTCTTGCGTATCCGCCGACATTGTTCGGCGTGTCGGGCACATCAATGACACACAACTCACGTTCATACTTTGCGGCGTTCGTCCGGTACAAGGGGGTTCCCGGGTTCGCCTCCCCCCGTGGTGTTCCCGGCCAGTTGGGATGCCGCAGCCATTTGGGGGTCGCACAAAAACAAATTGCAAAATATGAAACATGAGGCGTGCGTACCTCAAAAGCCTCAAAAACACCGTGGAGAAACGAGACAACATGAGCCTTTTTGCCAATGTTGGCGGCCTGAGCTGCACGCACTGAAGTTGAATGTTCCTTCAAAGTTCCAGCATACACATACCATGTGATACATATCTGTATGTATATCAACGGAATATAGAAACTATCCAATGCTCAGGTTGAACCAATGCACGTAAGAGAGATCCTGTTCAAGGTTGGGCATGCCCATGACAAAGCCGACAGAGCAAACAGCACGCGCATTGCGGGATTGGTTCTTTGAAACAATCAATTTGCAACATTCAGCCCTAGGCCAGGATCGAAGGCCTAAAATCAGGGCTCAGTAGGTTCCCCAAATCTTGCACCAAAACAGCAGTAAGATGCAGTAAGGTACATTGGCGTGCAGGGTGATATGTACAATTCAAAAAAAAACACTTTACATGCGATTTCGTTGCACATTTGCGGCTTGTTCAGCCCAAACCGACCTTGCTTCAACATCGCGTCGCCCCCCAAGCCTTTCTCGCGGAAGAACTCCACCATTTCTCTGCTGGGGCGCTTTGTGCCTGGGAAATCCGATGCGAGGTCACTAGGACTCCTACCCCGAGGGAAAACTTGCAGGAGGATTAAATAGAGGCCGTCGTTTTTGTTACTTCTTGAACAGGAAGAACTTAGGACTTGGGAAATGACCGAAAGCTGGCACTTTCGCCAGAGCCAAGGTGCCCTCTAGCCTGCGCTATAGAAGTCTTCTTTGAGGCTATGGCTCATGGCCCAAGCTTACAATTCGAACACGGGTGGCAAAGCATGCCGCACATGCCACAAATTGGGTAGCGGCAGCAAACCAATCCAGCACGAGCAGGAGCCAAACCCTGCCAAAATATGTGCCAAATGCACCTGTGGACCCCTTCAATGACCTCACAGCATAGAGACCAAAAGCTTAAACTCAAGGAGCTGAAACTCAAGTGGCTTCCATATTTATCACCAATGCATCAAATCCCTTTATTCCCCTACCCTGAAGGTCAACGTTCCTCCTCATCTCTGACCATACCAAAAGCACATCCAGGCCCGAGAGGGAAACAAAAACAGGAGCGCATGCAGCGCTTTTTCCTGAGATCTGACTCTGGCGCCTGAGCTTCGTGTCAGGGCCTTAAGCCGCCAACATCTCCTCTTTACCTCTTCACCGCACAGTCTAGGTCAACAAGTCTGCAAAAAAAAAACAAGCTTGATCAGTGAGGGGCCCGACATAGCAAACACGTCGTAAAACTCACCCGAATCTTTAAATGCAGCCTGCCCTTGGCCTCAAATGTGCCTCTCATATAGCACGTAACGAATTTGCCCATCCCGCAAGCATGACACTGCACCCAAACAAATACATGCACACGCAAACACACACGAACACATTGCTTTCCTTGCGCAGCTGACACACTCTTACAAGAACCTTCCATCCTCCAGGGTTTGTCCGATGGCAACGGCTGCCGCGCTCAGCTGCGAATGCCATCAGCTCATGCCTTCTTCGCCTTCTTCAAAGCGGGCTCTGGCTCTCCCTCCTCGCCGCCTGCCCCGTCGCCGTCGCCGTCGCCGTCAGCACCTTCAGCACCCTCAGCAGCTTTAGCACCGGCAGCCGCTTCAACACCGGCAGCCGCTTCAGCACCGGCAGCCGCTTCAGCACCGTTCTGACCATCCTCGCCCACGTTCACCTGGCCGGCACAACGGCATGAGGTCCGCGCTCCCAGTCCAAATCCCGTGGAGTCCTCTCCTTGCCCCCTCTGGGACTGCTGCAATCGGGGAAGGAAAGGAGCTAAAGGTTCCCTTGTCTGTCCGGTGTGCATTCTGCTTTTGTTTCGGGTGCTGGTCTTCCAAAAACCGTTTCAGTCCGTGGCACTGTCAATTCAAGTGGATGCTTGCTGCGTCTCTGAAAGGGAGGGGCAAACAGTTGGCTGACACTGGCTTTCTGGGCCGAATGGTTCTCAGGCAACAGGGAACAGGTCGCACACGGGCTGTGGATCCGATCCTACACAAGCTTCGCAGAACGGCTGGCCGTCGCGAGTCCTTCCGCTCCGGATTTCGCCAACATGGCCGCTGAGAAAGGCAGATGGCGAATAATTCGCCAGGAAGTTGGTCAGAGCGGCCAGCTCTGAAGGGAAAGGTCGAAGGAGGAATTGACGACAATAGTGGCTTTTGTTAGCTTCCCGAAAGCCCCAAACCACCAATATCCACCAATCCAAACCACCAACTAGGATTTACCTGCGTGTGGCTTATGGTGGCTACATGTCCCATTCGGCAACGGCTCAACTCGCCTCTTCGTCCTCCTCGATGACCTCCTCCTCAAAGCACTCAAAGCCCTCCTCGATGAAATCAGCCCCTTGATAATCAGCCCACAGTTGCGTCCACCTGAATTCACTGGCGTGCACGGAAGCGTGTCTCACATGCGCACGTTGGAGCATTGCAAACTGAGGCATTTACAAAAAAATAAAATGGATGCTTCGGAAAGCAGCATGCTTCGGCCGCAAAATGTCCAAGAAGCCAAGAAAGCTTCATTTTTGCACGCGCACAAGTCGCCAATCAGAATGTACGAGCTGACCATCCACCCCTCCCTAGGGGACTCAGAACTGGAGTCAAAGTTCACATCACGGCCCAACGGAACCTAACATGAACTCATGCGATTTGCTCATGCAGAAACAAGGCAGCGCATTCAGCTTAAGTAGCCATGCAAAACTTGTCCGCCGACTCCATCCAAGAACAACCAAGAGCTTATCAGCACTAACACAAGTCAACACCGTGAAGCCAAATAACAAGGCCACTCAATCCAACAAGCCACACAACTGCCCGCCGCCACGAAGCCAACTCAACCACCAAACCAGGATCTCAACCAACAACAGAAACAGCAGTAATCAAGCTAGCTTCCGGACAAAGTAGCCCATTGGACCTAGCCATTCTCCCTAACGCCAGCCATTTTCGAAAAAAAAAACGCCATTCCACGCCCACTTTCTTCTCGGCGCGGCGCTGGGAGACCTGCATGGGCTGGGCCCGGAGCTCGGGCTCGACCTCGTGGAGGTTTTGGAGGAAGGCCTGCTGCGCCTGGACCAAGGCCTCGAGCCGAGTCCGATGCCAGCCATTTGGAGAATCGGGAAGGGCCTTCAAAGGATACCCTCCGCACCTGACAGGGGGTCCCTTGAAGAGGAACATGATCTTCCAGTTGCTATGTTAGTGGGAGGGAGGCTATGTCTAAGAATTGGGGCCATTAGCTGTTCGTGGGTTAAATGGAAACTACCACTCAACCACTAAAAAGCTAAAAGGCTAAGGAGATGGCTGGGAGCCACCAAGCACAGCAAAACCCTCGAAGGCCAAAAGCCGCGCCTCGCCGGTGCCCTTCAAGCCCAGCTTCTGGATCAGGCGCTCCAAGTCTAGCTGCCCGTCCGCATCTACCAGCGACGCCTGCACCACAAGGGAGATGGATGGGGGAACCTGACGCAAGGGAAACCACCATCTGGAATCAGCAGTAGTGATGATTGAGGACCGGCTTGAACAACAGGGACAAAAGGAAATAAGTGCTTTCCCAACAGTAGTCTGACATAAGTTATGTTGGATGGCCATGAATCTGTTTTTGAGAGAAGCGCTACGCAAGCGGATCTGCAATCAATTTCGCGTGCGCCAAGGGGCCAACCTGACGTCAACTGGAGCGTTACCCCGCCCCGACTGCCCCTTCCAAGGAGCCGAGAGGAGGGCTCCTGTGCTTACAGGGCAAGGGGAGCGCCTCAAGGAAAGCCCAAGCTACTTGTCCATGGTACAGTTCATGTCAAACTGCGTTGTCTCTTGCCCGCGCACTCCTGCCGTCCTCCCCTTTATCTTTATTCTTTTCTTCCTTGTCTTATTTCTCTCATTGTTTCCTTTCTTCCCTCCTGTAATTATTGTTTGCAATGTTTTTGTTTTGACAAGCCATATTTCTTTCTTTCTGTCACTACTGATTTCTTCTTTCTTGCCGTCTCTCTCTCTCTCTATCTTGCTTGTCCACTCTGCGTTGTCGAATTATCAATTACAAATGTCCTGCCTGCTTCCAAAAAAGAAAGACGACTTGACACGCGGCTGGGGCAGGCGGTGGCTTTGCAGAACTAAGCTCCAGCAATCCCTTTAGCCCAGAACGTTTCGCCCTGGTTGTGTTTGTGTCCATAACACCGACTCTAGAAACGGGAAAAACAAGAGCATAATAGGGCCAGGGACAAGAGGCCCCGATTCAATGAGCACACTTTCAGCGTGAATTGTTTTGTCACGACAGCCGGCTGGTCTGAGCAATGTAAGGACTGCGCATCTCTGTACTGTCCGGCTTCGGGTACGGAAGCAAAAGGAAGGCAAGCAGGGATGGACATGCATCGCTTGCTACTTCCATCTTTACATGCAGCTGGGATCAAGCCGGGTGGATGTAAGAGCCCTGTAAGCGTCTCCACCCTGCTTTTGCTCAGCTCAAGCGCATCTTGCACTCGGCTTCGACAGCCACTCGATAGCTTTTGGTCAGCTCAAGCGACAATTGCGATCAGCATGGGTTGCAGGCGTAACGGAAGCAGTAGTAAGTACCCCCACGACCTCCGCCCAATTGAAGGCCGTACGTACAGCGCTTCCCACATCTGCACTGCAGGTTCTGCGGTTCACCAGTGCTTGGTGACCAGTCTGCGGACCGCAGAGTTGTGTTGCCAGCCTGGTGGCCCTTTACAGCTGGCTGCACGCTTCCTCGCAGAGTAGCTGTAGCTGTGGCATTGGTGGTCCTGGTGGAGTTGCAGCCATGGCAAGAACAGGATTGGCCAAACCAGGCACCCTCCAGCTTCTCACATGTGAGGCCGCAACTGCAGGACACAAAGTTGCCCCAGTGAGTCTCATTGCTGGGAGCGACTTCTGAACCACCAAGGGCCACCATCAACAGCATGGGCAAGGCACGAAGGCTCGTCACGGCCATGCTGAAGAAGCGCTAAGAGCTATCTGATGGAATCTAGCGAGCCACTCTGAATTGCGGTCAAATCGGCAAAGTCAGCACCCACAAAACAGGACGTGGCAAATGGACGGACAAGCACTTGGTCTTGATTTCCTGATCCCAACTTTCGCAGTGGAAGACTCGACGCCATGTTGCAAAATACTTTGCCGTGGTGATTGACATCAACAAACGCACAAGGAACCACCTGAGCCCAAACCTTGTGTATATATTGCCCAGGTGGCTTTGTTCTCTGGCACCCGCACACGCATACACACAAATAGAAACACATACACACCCACTCAACCAGGGCTCTTGTCAGATCAAAAGCCCCAATGATGGCCTGATCAACCTGCAGGATCAAGCCAGCGGGGTTGGATACATTGGGAGCTTCAGTATGCAGTTTATGTTTTGGCACCTGCCGGCTGGTCTGAGCAATCTGGTGATTGCGCTTCTCTGTACGCTCCGGCTTCGCCAGAAGCAAAGAAACGGCAAGCAGGGATGGACGTGCAACGCTGGTTGCTCCCGTCTTTACATATGGCTGAATTAGACCGAGCTGGGTGAAGAGCCCTGTAAGCATCTCCACCCTGCTGAAGATTCATCAGCTTG